GGAGACTGAGATAAAATGCACACAGCCAAAGAGCTAGAGAGTTTTGCAGTTCAATGTTATGACCGATTTCCCAAATATATTTGTTTAAAGTAATTTCATACTATCATTACAAGAAACTCCTCTCTCCATTTTTTCTCCTCAGAAGTTGCTCTAAGCTAAACAAGCAATTTTCTTCTATAAATCTATGTGACAAATAGAGCAGTAACATTTTCGTTCAAACCATTTACATACATTTCCATAAACCAGGTTCCCAGGCACTCTTCCTTGGGTGGTTTTGTTAGTTCTAAATACACATATTAACACTCAAAGCCTCCTGCAAGACTCATGATAGAAACCTGATTTGGAAAACTGGTGAAGTTTTCCAAGACTCTTGCACAGTCTTGAAAAAGAAAAAAAAAACTTTAAAAATTGGGCCCAGATGATCTGTTAAGGGCTTTACCCCTACTGTGAGTAAGAGGTGAGGCATACAGGATCAGCCTAGGGAACCCAGCTTCCCTCCTACCCCCCCCCACAACTTCCCTCCTGCCCCATACCTGAAGACAAGGTTCAGATTACTTTTTACGTATACATTCAGTTTAAGCATAAGGGGAGAGCAATGGACGTAGTATATCTTGACATTAGCAAGGCTTTTGTCATGCTGTCTCATGACATCCTCATTAACAAACTAAGGAATACAGACTAGATGAAAGCACTGTAAGGTGATATGTAGCTGGTTGGATCATCATACTCAGCAAGTAGTCCTCAATGGCTCAATGTGTAACTGGAAAGAGATATCAAGTGGGGGTACCCTGGGGGTCCATCCTGGGTGAAGTTCAATATCTTTATTAATGATTTGGACAGTGGGATTGAGTACATGCTTACCAAATTTGCAGATGACACTAAATTGGGTGAAATTTCACTCTATAGGGGACAACTAGGATCCAGAATGACTTGGATAGACTGGAAAAATGGTCCACAATCAGATGAGATTCATCAAGGACAAGTGCAAAATCCTGCGCTTGGGACAGGATAACCACATGCACACATATAGACTGAGGGTTGACTGACTAGGCTGCAGTACTACAGAGAAGGACCTGGGGATTACAGTAGACTTAAGCTGAATATGAGCCAATGGTGTACTCTTGTTACAAAAAAATGCCAACAGCATACTGAGTTGTATTAATAAGAGTGTCACTAGCAATTCAAAGGAAGCAATTCTTCTGCTGTATTCAGCACTGGTAAGGCCTCACCTGGAGTACTGTGTCCAGTTTTGGGCCCTACACTTCAAGAAGGGTGTGGACAGTTTGGAAAGAGTCCAGTGCAGAGCAACAAAAATGATTAAGGGCCTGGGAAGCATGACTTATGCAGAAAGTCTGCAAGAACTAGGATTATTTTAGTCTGGAGAAGAGAAGACCGAAGCGAGATTTGATAGTCTTCAAACACCTGAAAAGTGATTATGGAAAGGATGGAGATGGACTTTGCTCTGTGTCTGTAGTGGGCATGACTAGGAGCAATGGCCTCAAGCTGCAGCAGGGGAAATTTAGGTTGGCACTTAGGAGGAATTTTGACTGTGAGGGTGGCCAAGCATTAAACTAGCCTAGCTAGAGATCTGTGGAATCTCCTTCCCTGGAAGTTTTCAAGAACAGGGAGTTCAGACACTTGGCTGGGATGGTTTAGTATGGGATGATGCTGCCTTGAGCAGGGAGCTGGACTAGATGCCCCTGTGAGGTCCCTTCCAGCCATACTTTCCTATGATCTACATTCAGAAATGTACCCCTGAGGCTGCTCCAGGCTCGTCCCCAGTGGCTGGTCTCAAGGGCATACTGTCTTCATTAGGCAATATGGCTAAAATCTGGCAGCTGAGGCCTGAGAGCTATTGTGTCTTTCCATTAGTAATCATGGAAGTGAGTTTTCAAAGGCACAAAGGGGAAATTAACTCCTAAAAGTCTCAAGGGAACTGAGGGAGAGGTACCCACCTGTCATTTGTGCCTTTGAAGATCTGTCCCTAAATGCAGAGCAACTGTTAAAATTTCTTCAGTAATGTATTACCATTTCTACAACACATCTGCATAGCTTATAGCAATTGGAACTATTGGCCTCATTTTACAAGGGAGACTTGGATACTTGTAACCATCTGGATGCTGGTTTTGGGTTATGTCTATGGGAAAGGGATGTTTTATATTTAAAATCAATGACATGAGGCACATGGTCATCTTTTTGATGAATGATATGGATTACACTTTATTTACCAGAACTTCCAGTCAATTGGAAATAATAATGATTTTAGGAGTTCACAAAAGGAAACTGACTCGTTTTTTTCAGCCCTTCCGTTTTTTTTATTACCAAGCTTGAGGAGTTAACATACTGGCAGTGGGGGCTCCTGCCTGGCTATGACCTGCTGCCACCTGCAACACTGTGTGGCCCCAAGGCTGCGCACCTGCCAGGAACTGCACAGCAGAGGCATCTGCACCTCTAGGCCAGCTGCCAGTGGGCTGTGACTGCACAGTTAGCCTTTGTGCGGCATTACTGGCATGTGTGCCGCCACCCGGCCATCTAGGCAGCTTCAGGCATTGTAAACTTGCCCCCTCACATGGCCCCAGCTCTACCGTGTGGCCCACAGCTCAGCTGCAGTAGCAGAAGGCATTGAGGCACTCAGGGCCTCCTGGCACAGCCCCTATGTGGTGCGGGGCAGCACGTCTTGGCCCCGGCTGCCTGGCACCCAGCGCTGCCTGTGCCACATTGCATGGGTCAGGCCACTTCCATGCATGCAGGACCCGACCTGGCATGACAGGCAGTCCCCATGAGCAGCGTAGGACCCCAGGTGACACCCCAAGCAGCCCAGAGCTGCCCAAAGGTGCACGGTGCTACACCGGACCAGGCCTGCAAGATGTGGCACAGGCAGCACCAGGTGCCAGGCGGCTGGGGCCAAACCCCACTGGCCCACACTGTGCGGGGGGCTGTGCCAGGAGGCCCTGAGCCCCCCGATGGCTGCTTCAGGTGAGCTGTGGGCTGGGGGGGGGGCAGAGCCATGCAGGGGGGCATGTGGGCCCCGCTGGGGCAGGCAGGGAAACCACCCCTCCTGAACTGCCTCCCCATGGTCTCCCACACCTCAAAGTCCCGTCCCCCCCCTTCAGCCCCTCCACCATCTACTTACCTGGGTCAGAGCCCAGGTCCAGGTCTCTGTAGCCTGCACCGCTCCTTGCCCTGCATGTGGAGGCAGCATGCTACAGCACTGGGGCAAGAGGCAGGCGTAGAGATGCCCTGGCCAGCTACCAGAGTGTCTCTTTGTAGGACCCGAGCTTCTCCGGGACCATGCCCTGCCCCACTTTTGTATTGTTTTGTTATGTTTTGATATCCAGGTATCAAATTTTGAGCCCATGTTGCATATATGCAGCATGGGAAACATTTTTTGATCCCAGCGTTCCTCTTGCCATGTTTCAACCTGCTTTGAGACATGGCAAGAGCCATGTGTGGCCTCATCTGGACATGCCCTATTTGTTCTTGCTCCATGCCCTGCTCATTTCTTCCTGGTGGGCTAGCAAATATGAAATACTGGTGCAATCCTATTCTGCCTATTAGATGTCAAAGCCTACACAGTCTTGCACCCCAAAACATAACCATCTCACTTCAGAAAAAAAAATATCCAACAAGGAGCATGCAGGCTGACACCTGACTCTGTAGGCAAGTGAGGCAGGCGGTCTCCTGGGGAAAGGGAGCTTTTGGGTAGGGCCCCTCCTGACAATGTTCTTTGTAAATGTTGCTTTAGATACATAAACTGTGTAAACAGTATTGGGTACAGGGGACCCAAGAACAAGATTCATGCCAGGACGTACCCATCTCATTATGCTGCAGTCATATTCCCTTTTGCTTATTCTGCTTCTGGCCCCATGTTTGTTTCATCCTTTTCTGTTCAGCAGCCCATCTCCAACATGAATGGTAGAGGATACCTTCAGCCTTGCCTAGCTGGTAGTCTGGTGGTTAGCTGCTTCCCTTGAATGTGAGCAATCTGTGTTCAACCCCTATGCCTGGCTTTTTTGGGTAGGTCACTTTTTTTTCTTTAAAATGTATCACGGTTCAAGGACAGGAGCTTCCAACTTTTGACTCCAGGCCAGATCTGGGCTGCAGAGCCAGGGAGGGCTTCAACAGCAGGGGCGGGGAGGCATCAGTTGGACAGCTACAGGGAGCAGTGACTGTGGCTCCAGCCCTGGTAGCAATGTCATAGGCCAGGTTGGAAGCCCCCCATGCTCTGATCTAAGCACCATTAAAGTGGTGCTCCCCCCCCCCC